CCCCCCCCATGCGAAAATAGAACAAGGGATGATTCGACGGAAAGAAGTCAAGTGCATGCCATGAACAATATTTGCACAAATGAGAAAGTGACATTAAGTGGTTGTATGCTTCGCTATATACAGCCTGATGTACGAGCCGCCGCCGCGTGCGACTCCTGAAACTGTGAAGAAAACGAGAGGACAAAACACAAAAATGCGTACAAGGCTCGGCTATTAGGTAGGCGATTAGAAACCCCAGAAGCAAAAGCCAGTGCCCAACGAAAACGCGAAAACGCCAATGCTAATCAAACCTCATTAGACACATCAACAACATGCCGTTATCACGTTCGTAAAGACCATGCTCCCCTTTCACCACGCAGCGTGACCTCCGTCCATACGCAGGTCGGCACCGGTCATGAAGCTGCTGGCGTCGCTGAGCAGGAAGACGGCGGCGCCGCGGTACTCCTCCGGGCTGCTGAGGCGGTTGAGCATGTTGTGCTTGGGCCATTCGGCGCGGCGCTCGGGGTACGTCTCGAAGAGAGCCTCGACCATGGCGGTGACGATGTAGCCCGGGGAGATGGTGTTGACGCGGATTCCATGCTCGCCCCATTCGGCGGCGAGGTTGCGCGCGAGCTGGATGACGGCGGCCTTGGAGGCGTTGTAGGCACTAAGCGATGGGTTAGTCTCTGCTTTCTTCGGCGGGGAAGAAAAAAAAGGGGGGGATCAAAACAAGAAAAGAAAAGAAAAACAAGAAAAGAAAAGAAACCTACGGGCAAATGAGACCACGGTTGGCAATGGTGCCGCTCATGCTGGCAATCATGACGATGCTACCCTTGCACTTGTGCTTGATCATCTGGCGGGCGACGGCCTGGGCGGTCATGAGAGTGCCGGTGACATTGACGCCCATCATCTTGTCGGCGTCCTCGAGCGTGTAGTCGAGGGCCGGGGTCTCCTGCTGGATGCCGGCAGCGGCGATGAGGCCATCGAGACGGCCGTGCTCGTCGGCGATGCGCTCCATGAGGGCGTTGAGGTTCTCGACGTCGCGCACGTCCGTGTGGTGATAGAAGAGCGCGGTGCCCAGTTCGTGCTTGGCGCGCTCGGCGATCTTATGGAATGAGGGATCCGGCTCAGGGAGGCGGTCGACGGCGTGGACTATTCAAGGGGTTGGTTGGTCAGATTAGAAAAGGGGTGTTCTGGGGCCAGTGGGCAGATCGACAGGTGAATGAGGAGCGAAAAGAAAAGACTTGTATAAAAGAGAAAAGGGGGGCCGGGGGAGGGGTTGCTTACCGACGGCACCGGCCTCAAGGAGGGCCTCGGCTTGAGTCAGACCCAGGCCACGAGCGCCGCCCGAGACAACGATGACCTTGCCCTGGAGGCTGAACTCGGGCAGGCGAGTAGTCTGGGGAGGAGTCGGGATGGAACCCATATCGGATGCAGAATCGTCGTCTTTATGAGAAGAGGCACGAGTGGGAGAGTAATGGAACGGGCGCAGCTGATTGGGGGAAACTGCAGCTTGTCGAAGTGTAGATGTCGCGAGGATAATGGATCGTGTGGTGAGAGAGGTAGAGGGTGCGAGATGGCGAGTGAGCCGAGTAGTGAAGAGTCGAGATTGTTCGAGTCGTGAGAGAGAGCGAGACATGATGGGAGTCGGACGTGAGGGTATCGTGGACAGTCTTTTATACGTTTTGACTAGAAGCCAGCAAGACACGAGAAACAAAGCCTGCAGAGGAAGAAGTGGATTCGGATGATGCCTTCGCTGCGTAAAAGGTTGAGAGCTGACGAGACCTGAGTAGAGCGGAGCGCAAGCAGTCGAGACCGACGTAAAGGAAAGCAGGAGAGCGGGGACGACGAGGGTCTTGAAGTGTGAAGTGGAGGAGATTCCCGATCGAGGGTAGTTACGTTTAAGAATACTGCCGAGACGCCAGAGCAGGGATTCGAGGCTTCAGGTTGAGAGCTTCCCGGAGGTGTCACTGTCCACTGCCGTTGGAGCAGGGGGGAGGCCGGCAAGTGCACCTTTACCTAAGTAAGGTACGAAGTACATGACGAGCAAGCAGTGAGTGGAGGAGAAACGTGCTTAAAATGCCAGTAGGTTTGATTGGAAGATGTTACTGCTACATGACATGGGGTACAGGCTACCTTAAGGTAGGGTACCTTAGGTAGGTACGGAGAGACGAGAACGGAAACACAAGGTAACCTAATAATACGGACACATAGGTAATTGCAGAGCAATTACCTACCGCAAAATGCACACAGCACGTACAACGTGTACGTTGTACTGCAACACTTGGTGTCTTGCCCCTGCCCCTGCGCCCTTGCGACGCGCGGGAAGGCGTTGGGAGAGGCGTCCCGTCCCCACGCTAACCCGTCTTGAGGTTTCCGTGAAGACTCCAGACGTAGCAGCGACTAACAGGGAGGTACCGGTAGATGGATGCTATTATTCATGTTATCTACGATGGAATTACCTAGCACCTACGTGTAATCAGTCTTAATCGATGACACGGCCTATAGCGGGATTCCCCAAATAGGAAAGCCGGTTGAGATGCTGGCTTCAGGACTGTGCTTCGTCCAACGCTAAAAAGAAGGGATATCACGAGGCCTTAGATTCGCTTTGCACTCCACCCAGAATAAGCTCTGGACCGTGATGGATCTCAGGGGATCAGTGCATCATTGTGGGACGCTAGTACGCGTGTCCAGAAACGGTACCCCCGCATTCGGCCGTGCACCGTCAAAGGGCACGCCCCACACCTGGCCAGCCTGTCGGGCTTGTTCGGAGTACGGAGTATCCGTACTTCGTACACCGGTACCTCGTATTGTTCACCTCGACCTCGACCATGCAAAACTCCACGTACATGTAGCATATCTTTTTTAGAACCCCAATGTCCTTACTCTTCGCCCATATTTCGAATCAAGCGGTGAAAGAAGCGGTTGTTTCTACTCTTCCCTGTACCAAGCAAATGCAATTGATGTAATTGACTGCGGCGCAATCGTCTTCGTAATGTGCGACTCCACCTAGCTGTTCACGCGCTCGGGTTATCCACAAAAACACAAAGCAAACAGTCGATGACGATGTGTCCCTTTCTGTAGCTATATGCTGTTCTCTCCATCCATCGTTTCTCTCTCACCATCACGATCGACGACTCTATGATGCTTCCCCACCCCACGGCGTATAGTTCCTTTCGGAAAACGGACAGGACCGAGGACGCACAGAGTACGGAGTAAGTATCGGGAGCGGAATGGATTTTAATCCACGAGAGGACTCGCCGCTCGCTGAGGTATTACACTACGGAGCACGATCTACCCGCCATTCTCCCCATTCGCCGCATTCCTGTTTAGATCTGAACTGTGCGTGTGCCCGTCTTGGGCCTTGTTGGCCGGACCCTGGCTGTCCGCGTGAGCTTCACCCCCACGCACCAACCAAGAACAGACTAGCGTAGCCAGTATCGCCACTCTTATTCACCCCCACTGATTAGTAATGTTCAACGTACCAAATACATACGCCGAAATTTGTTCCATTTAATTAATCAAAGCTCCTTTCCTGACCTCCAACATCGCCTACGCCGCATGACCACATATATTTCCCAGTGTTCCGATAAGAGATCCTCGGCATATTTAAGCATATTCACACCAAAGTCAACAGCGGTTCCGTTAAACTGAACAGGCCCAGGCTTTGTCGGCATGACATTCTGCGACCCCAACAGGCTCCTGTCGGTTTTCGAAACTCCGGGGATATATCATATATGGCGCTGGTGGCCTCGGAAACGATTCGAACCTGGTTGGCAGCACTCTCTGAGACACGCCCCTCCTGTTCGAGGCGGCATAATTGCTGACGGCGCGACTTGACTCCTCCGGAGCCCAGGCGCCAGACCGGGCAGGGGATTCCGCCGGTCCGGGGCTTCATTCGGCTTTCCAACAACCTTGTCCTAGAACAATGTGTTGAAAGTCGAGCGTAAGCTCCTGGCGATCAGCCACCGTTCACGGCTTCGGTGTCGCTGTCACCGTTCGTCTCTACAGACTTCGCACACCGGCCTATTTTCTGTCAGATCATGGCAACCCTGTCATGCGACCAGACGGAGGATGGGACGGACTGATGCAACTTACAGACATGTTCAAACACCTTCTGACTCGCCTCGGCCGGGCTCAGCGTCGTGATGTCCAGCTCCATTTCCATGTCGTTGTGGAAGTGGAAGATGCCCTCTTCCTCCTTGATGGTGTCAAGTACGGCGATGTTCTTTTTCAGGTTGGTACTCGTCCCGTTTTTGTCCTTCGCCGGCGATGACGGCCTTTGTGGATGTCTCCTCAGGCTCCTCGCAGGTGAGGATGACAGAGATGAAGGGGGAATCTCTGATCATAGCTGCGGTTTCGTAGTCCTTTGCGATGGAAGATGCCAGTTCGCTCGACGGCTGCTGGTCGGTGAAAATCCAGGTGACGTCCCGTGTTGACTCGGAAGTGGCAATCGATTCCAGAAGTTCCTCTCGCTGTTGCGGACAGGTTAGCTATATTCTTCATGTACACGAGGATATCACGCAAGGAGGTAGATGGGGCAAGTCCTACCAAGGCTCGTGCCAGAGGTTGGTATTCCGGGTCGTCCTTCTTGAAGACCGCGGCGACTGGGTCAATGAGCAGATGATGGCTCACAACCTTGGCGTTTGGGATTAGGTTGCTATGATTGTGAATTCCACAGCCAAAAATAGTCTCAGAATATACGGTCCGCAATTACTTGCCACAACTTCTTGGCAATCGTCAATTTCCCGACGTTGGGAAGCCCATTGATATAAATGAAAAACCCCATATTGGCCTGATATGACAGAGCTTTTGGAGATGTCATTTCACATTTGTTTCCTGCAGAGCCCAGTATTTGTGAGAATAGTTGCAGATTCGGATGCGATGATGGAGAGACTGATATGAAAGGAGAAGAAGAAGTAGCAAAGGGGCAATAAATGGAAGAAGAAGAGAGAAAGTAAAAAAAGAGCAGAAAAAGGCCCCAGGGCTTTTCGTTAAATAGACTCCGGCATACCTAGGTTATGGGGGAAAATTGATCGAAATATGGTCGTAGTAGGTGGCTTGTGCCACATCTTCTTAAGTTATTGAACGTGATGCGCTTCCAGCATTGGATTCTATGTGCCTGTCATGGGTGGCTATCGTGGATGAAGGTTGCCTCCAGGAAACAGAGGCTTATCCGTGGGAGGGCTAAGGTTCTCAACCTACTTCTTGACACGAATACATTTTGGCTTTCGTTTAGACGAGGTGGCGGAACAGGGCGCTGGAATGTGTTTTGTGAGGCTTCCGCATAGTCACAGTCTAGGACTCTTGATACGTGTAATGAAAAGAAAATCCCAGCGCGGAGTTGAAGCCACAATCAAAAGTATTACAAAGGTTGTCTTCCCTGATGATGCCTTGCCACCCTTGGCCAAGTTAAGGAGTCTCTGCTCAACTCCCGCCAGCTTCTACTGCGTGGGCATATAAAATGAACATAACGGTTGTACCCGGCCCCTTGCCGACAGACGCCCTGGATAAGCTACACCTTATATCATTGCTTCCAAAGCTGCTGGGCTGGATGTAGCCAAGTGTTGGCCCCGTCTGAACAGAGTAGGTGAAGTGAGACTGTGAGTCTGTTTCAACCCCTGCCGACTTTGGTAGAGCCGAGCCGTCTGCTGTCCTGACTGTCACCGTACAACATGATCCAGTGAGAAATACGAATAACCGCTTGTACATGCATACTAGCTAGAAACTGGCTTTAAATCTCCCTGGTAGGCTGGTACTTTAATGGATACCATTGATTTGGGCTCCCCTGAGAGCTAGGTCTTGATTAAAAGCTTTTCCACGGTAACACTGGACTTTTCCTGTAATTGATAACGTAAAACTAAAGCTCTCGAGAGATCCGAGATAGTTGGAACATCCCAGGGTTATCATCTTCGCCATCGACCACTAGGACCTCACGCGCCCGGAGTCGCCTGTCCTTGGGAGATATCACAAGCAAACCAGGGGTCAGGTTGGCCAGCCCTGTAACGAAGCCGGGTCGGGCACGACGCTGGTTCTACGCTGTGGTGTAACCAACGCTCACTCAGTCGTGTTCATGGGTTTGAGCGATCGGGAGTCGGGAGTCGGGACTCGGGAGTCTCGGGACAGGCCGTGGCGCGGGTGCCAACAGGCGGGAATGGGGACGGTGACGTCTGGGATCTAGTCGTTCGTAAAGAGTGAGACTGTCAAGAACATAACAGATGTTACGGATTTTGGGGTTCCCGTAGCATCGTCGTGACAGTTGTAGAGATTGTGATGAAAAGAGGGGAATGGATGTTGGACGGGGCACGGATCCAGGACCTTCGACGACGCCAAGACACGACACATTTCCTTATCTTATCGTTGTTTTGCGGATGACGTAAGTCGCACCTGAAACGGGCATGACGAACCCTTCAAACGTTTCTGTCAGATTTACCCTGGGAAAGGACCAATTCTTCCCCTCTTCATCAACACCACTTGTCCTACCTTCAAAACTACGCTCTCAAAGGATCTGTAATTGAGTTCAAAAACATTCCACCGAAAAAAAAGGAAGAAAAAAAAGAACCAAACCCACCATTCCGTTGCGCTTCCACGGAGACACGTACGAAAACAATCAACGCGCCCCGACAATGTCGCGCTTCTCGCACTACGACACAGACGAAGAGCGGCTGCCAGAGGGCATGACGCGCATAGGCTACGACGCCGACACGCAGACGTACAGCTACCGCGACGCGGACGGGAGCTACTGGGAAGGCCCACCGGGGGCGCAGTACGGGCGGCTGACTCGCGTGTCGGGCGGGAACGGGGGCAGCAACAACACGGCAGGACCGGGTACGGAGGGAGACGAAGAGGACGAGCCGTTCATTCCGGGGGGCGGGCTGGAGCCGTGGGAGGTGGAGAAGCAGTCGTGGCGACAGGCGTACGCGCCGCTGCTCAACTTCCTCGTGCTCGTCGGGCTGTTCCTGTTCGGCGTGGTGTGGCTCCTGTACCGATCGCGCGGAACGGTCCCCGCCCATGCCGACTGCGCGATGGGCCAGGACGAGTATACGATTGCCAAGGGGGATACGTGCTGGGACATTGCGCAGGAGAAGGCGCTGAGTGTGGAGGAGCTGCTTGCTGCTAACGAGGGACTGAACTGCGACAAGCTTCGGGTTGGGGGGGTGATTTGTATCCCCGGGCCAGATGACGGGGGTGCCCAGCCGGAGAGAGAGGGAGGTTCCTGAAGCCTGTATGTGATGATGAGGATTTCGGTGCTCGAAAAACAACGATGAGGCATGTCAATGGTGAAAGTCGTGGGCAAAGTCGTGGGCAAAGTCGTGGGCAAAGTCGTGGGCAAAGTCGTGGGCAAAGTCG